GAGAGCTTTTAGAGGGAGCACCTGCCAGCACCTTGTCTTCACAACTCTGACCTCCGGAACCATGAGAGAATAAACTTCTGTTGTTTTAAGTCACCACATTTATGGTAACTTGTTACGGCAGCCACGGGAAACTAACCTACCTCTTCACCCCCAGCTAATTCATCCCTAATCTTAGATTAACGGACACGTGAAATCTAAGTAGCAAATCACAGCATAACACAAAGTTCCTAATGACATCGGCTCCCGTTTCTTGAGGATTTGCTCCTTAGAGACCCTGGGGGTAAGTGTATTACCTCCATCCTCCCCTTCCTGATGAAGAAAACGGAGTTCAGAAAGGCTGGGTGACTTGGCCAAGGTCACAAAGCTCACACCTGGCAAAGCCAGAATGAAACTTCAGTCTGTTCAACTCCAAAGCCAGTGGGATAGTGAATTAGATCTGCAGGTGAGCCCTGTGACCTGTGTGAGCCCTGGGAGCCCCAAACTGGAGCTGACGTAACAAACCCCAGCCCAGACGAGGAAGCGGTAACTCCCTGGGGTTTGCAGCAACAGGATTTCATCTCCATGAACACTCAAGGGTCTGCGCAGGGTGATCCTAATGCCCTTAGGTCCCCTGGTGACCTACAAGGACTCAAACACCTGGTCACATGGCATGAGCCCAATCATTCAAATTCTGTAGCATTTGTAGCCGCTCCCGGTCTGTCTGCCCCCCACTCCGCGGCTGGTGCTGCCTCCGGTGCAGTGAAGTGGAGGGAGAGGCAGACACGCACGCAGACAGCTCCACCACACAGCCGGGCAGGGCGGAATAACCACACACCGGCGTGGTGAAAGGCATTACTCATTTATTCACTCACTCACTCATTTCTCCCACAGATGTCTTTATGTCCTAACATTAGACCTAATAACTGCGTAACTAGTTCGTGTGCTCTTTAATCTCCACCATCTAACACCCTACCTGATAATGGTAAATGCTTAATAAATTCCTGTTGAACTTAAAGAAGGGGAAACTGAGGCCCAGAGAGGCGGGAGTCTTACCCAAGCTCACACGGGACTAGAAGATCGAGTCTCCAAAGATCCCCATCACATTCTCTTCCTGCAACGAGTCTCTGAGCCTGGGGCCTGTGTTTATTTCCCTGCTCATCTTACTGTCTCCTGAGCAGCTGCTGGAAACTGGTAGGATTTCAAAAGGCCGCACTGCAGGGAAAAGGCATCCCTGACAGAAGGAACAGTATGGAGGGTTGCTCGGAGGCACATTTGAGGGCTGGACCAGCTGGGTCACCTGGGCACTGGCCTTTCTGCTCCCTTCTTGGAGGTCACACACTCAGCTCCCTGGGCTGCGAAGTGTTTCCCTAGAAATGTTATCCTGTAATATTTTCAGAAGGAAAATAATGAAAATCTCCCAACTCCACAAAAGTGCTCACAGTTTTCCTTGCTGCATTCTCACAGATCCTAAAATTAAATGGGACATTGAAATGCTCCAGCTGGGGAGTGGGAAAGAATAAGTCCCCTCCCCTAATTAAGTGCCATTATGAACAACTGTAGAATGAGTTAGATTTGGATACATCATTTCAGGGCAAAGCGGTCTATTCATTTCCCAGGACTGCTGCAACAAATTACTACCAACTTGGTGGCTTAAAACAATGGAAATTTATTATCTTACAGCTCTGGAGGCCAGAAGTTCAAAATCAACGTGTTGGCAGGGCCAAGGTTCCTCTTCCAGCTCCTGGGGGCTGCGGGTGTCCATGGCTAGTGGTGGCATCACCCCCGTCTGCCTCTGTGTCACAGGACCTTCTCCCTGCAGTGTCTTCTCCCCTTCCTCACATCTCCTCTCCTTTCTCTTATAAGGACACCAGTCATTGGATTTAGTGCCCACTCTAAATCCAGGCTGATCTCATCTTGAGATCTTTAACTTAATTGTCAACCTAATCACATCCAAAAACTCTTTTTCCAAATAAGGTCACATTCACAGGTTTCAGGCGTTGGGACTTGTGCATATCTTTTGGGGGAACTCAATTCAACCCACTCCAGAGGGAAAAAGGAGCCCAAATGCTTCTGGAGGCCCCAAGCTTTCCCCAAACAACATAAACTAAATGGCTAACAAAGGCCTTCTAAGAGACGGCCAGGTCTCTGGCCTGTGTTATCACGGAGTCACCTAATGCGTGGCAGGGGCCATACGTATCGGGCCAGACCAGTGACAGGCCAGATACAAAACAAATACTTCCATGAAGCAGCCTGGATGTGGGGAAGGCTGAAAAATAGAGGTAAAGGATGTCACAGCTGAAATGGCCATTATCCAAACGTCTACAAATAATAAACGCTGGAGACGATGTGGAAAAAGGGAACCCTCCTACACTTTTGATGGGAATGTAAATTGGTGCAGCCACTATGGAAAACAGTATGGAGGTTTCTTAAAAAACTAAAAATAGACTCACCATATGATCCAGCAATCCCACTCTTGGGCATATGTCCATAGGGAACTTTAATTTGAAAAGATACATGCACCCCAATGTTCACAGTAGCACTATTTACAGTAGCCAAGACATGGAAGCAATCTAAATGTCCATCGACAGATGACTGGATAAAGAAGCTGTGGTGTATATATATACAATAGAGTACTACTCAGCCATAAAAAAGAAGGAAATAATGTCATTTGCAGCAATATGGGTGGACCTAGAGATGATTATACTAAGTGAAGTTAGTCAGAGAAAGACAATATCATTTGATATCACTTACACGTGGAATCTAAAAAAATGATACAAATGGGCTTATTTACAAAACAGAAACAGACTCACAGACATAGAAAACAAACTTACGGTTACCAAAAAGGAGTGGAGGAGGGATAAATTAGGAGCTTGGGATTAACGGATACACACAATATACATAAAACAGATAAACAACAAGAACAGGGAACTAATTTCTTGTAATAACTTATAATGTAAAAGAATCTGAAAAAGAATATATATATATATATATATATACATATATACACACACACATATATATAACTGAATCACTATGCTGTATACCAGAAACTAATACCACATTGCAAACCAACTATACTTCAACAACAAAAATAAATAAAAATAAATAAATTTTTAAAATAAAATTCAACAAATAAAAAATTAAGAAAAGAATGTCAGAGCTGAAAGAATCACTGACAGGTATAATCCCAAATCCTCAAGCTGCCGGGAAGTTTGATTAAATACATGATCATGGGACCCATCATACAGCGTGTTCACGTCCATCAAATTGTGTGGGCCCCTCAGCCACCCTGG